AAGGAGATAGATGGGGGAAGAGTCAGAGGGGAGATCGAGGTGTAAGGAGAGAAGGTTCAGCGAAAGGTGCTCAAGGGAAGCCATGTTGATCCTTCTGAACCCTATAGTCGGCCAATCAGATTCGTCGCGCAATAGGGAGATCCTCTTACTCAACGCGTCTGATTGGTGAGCCGGGGTAATCAGAGGATCAACCGGGCTTCGCGAGCCAAGGTTGATGAGCGAGAAGAGACGAGGCGCGAAAAACAGCGCGAAACGGGTCCAAGATTCAGATGATCAAGAAGGGGAAACAGGCGCGCAAAAAACAGAGAGGGAGAGAGGGAAAAACAGTTGCGATGAGAGAAGACAAGGAGGGGGAAGGGAGAGAGGAGAGAGTGCGGGGGAAGGATGACGCGGGAAATAAGGAGGAGGAAGCTCGCATGCGCGGTACCGACATCAAGAGAAAAAAGGCACCAAAACAGTTACAGCTTCCTATGCCCAAAACCAATTCAAAAATTGAAATCACCATATCCTTGCGTGAAAGTCGACGCGGGAAAAAAAATTCTTATGCCTATCCGTATTCTCACAGAATTCCTAAAGTTTTCTCCGACGTGACCGAGAACATTCATGCAAGGAAAAAGATACGTCGATCTCCGCTTATTCCGTAATTCCTAACTGTCGAGCCCGATTCCCAGTGAGCTTCGCTAGACGCACGTACTTTCCCGTGCATTTCTCGAGTTACGAAAAGCAGAATTCCAAGAATCGATAGAACTTCCGAAAAAAATGGGGGCCCAAACAAGGCGCCTGAAATCAAGAAAAGCGACAAGGGTTTTATGGGGTCGGTATGGTATAAAAAAGGGGGTATTGAGTCAAGGGGTACGAAAGATAGCACGAGGTCGGGAAGTAGCTCGTCACATATGTGATGCGCAGGGGGTTCCAAAATTATGCGATCTCCTAATTGCATGAAAGCTCGAACAAAGGGAATAGGAGGAGACAGAGAAGCAGGAAGAAGTACAAGGAACGAGGGGGGTGGGAGGAGACGAAGAAGCAGGAAGAATTACAAGGAACGAGGGGGGTGGGAGGAGACGAAGAAGCAGGAAGAAATAGGAGCTCGGATCAGCACGATGCGCTGGCGACAACATCCGTGGCAAGATCTCCGTGAAACATGCCGGCTCGTGCTGTTTTGCATCCCGTTCCCTGCAGTCCTGTCATATGCAACCCCCTGTCCTTCGAACTTCGGAGATCGTCCAGGTGGCACCATCATGGTCCATCGGATCTCCGTGTGCTCTGCACCCCCAGTCCAGTGCAGTCCATCGAATCAGAGCATAAGTTGACGTCATCGTCAATGGTGTGATCTTCGCAAAACTGTTGATTCGTACTGTTTGGAGGACATGTGGCGGGTATCAACACCATGTGGGAATGGGAAAGGTGACATTATACATGGGGGGATGTCGACGGGGAGGGKGGGGGGGAAGTGGGGGCAAGTAACGGTTCATCCCTTCCTCTGTGATCCGGAGCTCCTTGTAGCGGATGATCCGGTGAAAGCGGGGAAACCGATTGCCGTTGTGAGGGAGGGAGGCGAGGTAGTCAGGGTAAAGGGTGGAGAACGTGCGGAAGAGTGCTGCGCGAAACAGCTCGTGCCAACGACACGCAGAGATGGTTCCTGTGATTACGCAGTAGACTTCTACTGCGTTGCTCTGGTCCCACGCAGCACTGGACAAGAGGACGTGTAAACAGAACGTGGGGTTTGCAGATTGAAGGGAAGGGTGGGAATGGACGGTAACGGCGAGACGGGTGGAGTAAAAGTGACGGAAGGTATTGGGAGGGAAGGGGTTGCGAGGGAAGGTAACGGGAGTAGAGATCTGGCAGAGGGTGAGGTAGTCAAGGGGACGGCGAGATAATGACCAGGGACGAAGGCCGATTCCCCCCATTGGTACGTGGACGAACTGGGGGACGGGTTGGGGTGGAGGGGGAGGGGGATCGGCTCCGTCTCTATCGCGATGCGCTCGGAACCGCGGTTGCTGATCCGCCATCTTCGGGCTCGAGGGGCTCTGGATCCCTGGTTGGGTCGTCGTTGATGCACAGGCTCGCCCCGCTGGCGAATTCCAGCTGGCTTTTCCCAGCGGCGATCTCTTCCCTTCTACGTGCCACTTCGGGGTCTTCCGCCTCCGTGCCTGTGCGCGCCGCCTTTTTCGGCAAGTCCTCCTACTCTGATCCGGATTCCTCCTCTTCATCTTCTTCTTCTTCTACCTCCTCCTCTTCTTCGCTTTGCTCCCCTTCGCTGTACTCACTATAACTTCCCTCCTCCGATGTTTCTTCGTCGGCGTCGCCCTCGTCTTCAGTGGCTTCTTCTTCTCCCTCAAGCGCCTCCTCAGGTTCTTCCTTCGGATAGAAGGCACGATCAATGATTCCGTACGGCTTCAAGTACTCCTGCCGCGATGGCAAAGTGCTGTCACTCCCAGGTTCTTCCAAGCAAGCAGTCCACTGAAGATACGGTGCTAATGTCCGCGTGATGACATGCGAAGCGGGGCTATCGTCGCTTTGCGAAACGATGTCGAGGGAGAGATCATCAGCCAGTTGCGCGAGCGGGACGACGAGTTCTTGAGTAATTGGTTGGCGATGGCCTGGCCGCACCGATCCGAAGAGGAAACCGAGAAGATCGCCTTCCACATCCGTTCTCCAAGCCTGTAGGATCAACAACTCCAGGTATTCGATGTACGCAGGATGCTCACTGGTCCGTGTCCACGTCACCTGTACTCGGGCCAAACACACAAACAGATCGACAAAGGTCTCGCGCCACACCGGCCAATGCCCGGGATCAAGAAGCGGGACGGCAAGAGGCTCGAACAGGAAAGAAAGGCGAGGATGGAGATCGGATTGCCAGAAGGTGGGAAAAAGAGAGGGGAGGCCAAAGGTGGAGAAAGGGGCGGGAGGAGCGGCGCGGTTCATTGAGGGCGTTGGAAGGGGATGAGGGTGGGGAGCACGACCGCCGGTTGGCGCGGAGAGGTGCGAATTCCGTCGAAGTCAGTCCCGGATGTTGGGACTAGATTGTTCCCCGGACGCGCAAGACCGTGATGCCACTCGTCTGACAACTGTTGCGTCCACTCTCTTAAAGAGGTCAAGATCGCGGTATGCCGAAGTGGGTTAACCATGCTGATGTCGCCGCTGAAGGCAGCGACCATGGTGACGTGGCTCGTCCCTGGAGCCGCTCGTCAATGAAGAGCCACCACATCCGCTAATATTACTGCCTGCTGACTCCCGGCGAATCGGAACGCGGCAGTGGCACACACTCCCTCGGTGCAGAAGAACTGCGCCACTCTTCGAAGATCGGGACTGAGCCGCGGGTGATGAACTTGCCGGATCTCAGAGATGTAGCCACATGGCTGCAGCAGATGATCGCCAAGAGCTTGCTCCGTGATGAAACTTATGGCGAGGATGGGGAAGAAGATGAAAGGGGGGAGCAGGAGGGAGAGAGCGAGGCGAAAACTAGATCGTCGTCGCCCTCTTCTTCAGCAGATGAGGGAGATAGAGGAAGATCGGAGGGAGGGAGGGGACGGATATAAGAGGTATGGCGGATGATGGGGACAGAGCTATGGCTGGCGCCTGCCTCGGGTGAGATGCGCACCGTGTTAGCACCGTTGGGTCCGAGCTCGACAACGAGGAAACAGCCAGAGAACTTGGGAGCGAGTTTCCGGTCGCGTGCACATTTACGTACCTGTACCAGGTCCCCTAATTTATATTGATGTTGGGGACCGACGTTCCCATTTCGGGCCTCATAGCTACGGACTTGCCTTTCGTGGGCTAGATCGGTCATTTTCTGTCTTTTTCGGGCTAGCTTCAGAACGGCCCTTTCCATTACATCGGCGTACCTTTTGGCCTTGGCCTTAAGGGCGGCACGCGTGTCTCTACCCCCTACTTCGGCACTTTCCGATTTGCCCCAGTAATCGACACATGGGAGGCTATTGGTCCGCAGCTGGAAGGGGGTGAACCCCGTGGATTCATGAGGGGTGGCCCGGCGAATTCCGACAATTTGGTATACAATCTCGGGCCAGGGACGTGTGTCACGCGCTGCTAAATTTCTACGAAGGGCAGTCTTAATTATGCAATTGGCATTTTTGGCCAACCCGTTCGAATGGGAAACGTGGGGTAACGTATGTCGAAGCGTAATGCCTCGTCGTGCAAGTAATTCCTCTACCTCGCCTTTGAATTCGGACCCATTATCGGTTAGAATTTCTTCTGTGTCTAGGTGAGTATAGAGAAACCGGTCGATGTACGCGGCTATCTCTGCGGCCTTACGGGTCTTGCAAGGGTATACCTCGATGTATTTGGAAAAATGGTCTATTAAAACTAAAAGGATAGAATATTCGCAACGGTTTGGGCCAGGTGGCACGTCGATATCTGTCGTATCCATACTGGCTCGCTGGAAAAGTTGATCCATCGGTAATCCCGAGATCTCTCAGTAGCCCGACGTCTGTCGTGCTTAGTGCGATGATCCAATGGTAAACCAGCCAGCTTAGCTAATAGGATTTTATTCATCCAGACCTCTGCTCGTCCGTATTTCTCGTCGTATTCAGGGTCGTCCGTTCTACACAGAGGGCATTTCCATTCCCTACTATTTGTTCGGTATCGAACGCACGCACCGTGTGCACGATTGACACACGTGGCACAGTTCACCCACTCAACGAATCTGGTCTCATAAGGATGACAACTCACCCCATATACCCGTGTAATACATGTGCAAAAATAACATAATTTATCGGGGAGGGTGGCGAAGAAGGCCGAACTGGCGAGAGGGTCGGAATCAGCCGGGGAAGAAGGGGTCGCGGAGACAGGTGGGGTAGCCATGATGAGAGAGGAGGAGAGGGAGCGAACAGGACTGCAGAGAGGGCGGAGCGAAGCTACGTGTCACTCACTCCTTCGACAAAATTTCCACTTATCCGTATCGCGGTCCGCTCTCCTCCTTCGGCTCGTTCCACGGAATCACCTCCTCGCTCTTGAGGACCTTCTCGGGTCGGTGCAGCCGTGTCGATCCGTCAGCATTCCCGTGCTTCTCGTGCTTCTGATGACGAATGTCAAAGTCCATGCTCTGTAGCACCGTTGCCCACCTCCCGATCATGCCCGAGTAATCCTTAGATTTCTTCAGGGCTAATAATGGCTCATAATCGGTGACCAGTATGAACTTCCGTCCATACAAATAGGCTCGAAAGTGACTGATTCCCCACAGAGCCGCATAGCATTCTCCTGTTGGGACGGCGTAGTTGCGTTTGCAGGCAGGCACCGACTTAGACGCGTATTCCACCACGCATTCAAGTCCGTCGGGTCCCACTTGGGCCAAAATCGCTGAGATTGCCTCCGGCTGCCAGTCCGTGATGAGGACAAAAGGCTTCGCAAGATCCGGTCTTATAAGGACCGGAGCCGAAATGAGGGCTGCCTTGAGTTTCGAGAACGCTTGATCACATTCTGGCGTCTAGATCAACGACTGATCCTTTTTCAGCAAATTCGTGGGGGAGCCCGCAATAGCCGCGAAATCCTTGAAAAACCTTCGGTAATACGAGGCCAGGCCCAGAAAGGTGCGAACTTGCGTGATAGTCATGGGTACAGGCGCGTCTCTCACGGCTGCCACCTTTTGCGGTTCGGGTCTGAGTCCTTGGTCTGTCACCACGTGTCCCAGGAAGGAAATGGTGGTGAGAAAGAACTGACACTTCTCAAGTGCCACCTTGAAACCGGCATCTCTCAATGCATGCAGCGTTCATTCTATGTGCTGCATATGCCCTTCGTAGGAGCTTGAATACACCAGAATATCATCCATGTACATAATCACAGAATAATTGATGATGCTCTGCGCCAGTCGCGTCTTCCGCACAAAGTTCTGGAAAGCCATGTTCATGGCTCGCTGAAAGGTTGCAGGAGCATTGCAGATGCCCATTGGACATCGAACCCATTGCCAAGTACCTTCAAACAACACAAACGCCGTTTTCGGACGATCCTCCTCTCGAACAAGAAAATGATGGAACCCATGTCGAACATCAAACTTACTGAAAAATCGAGCACTCCCAATCGCATCCAACAACTCATCAATCCGGGGAAGGGGATACACATCTTTGATCGTGATATCATTCAGCTTTCGATAATCGATGCATATGCAAATCCCTCCAGCCTTTTTGGGCACGATTACCACAGGAAACGACCACGGTCCTATTGCGGGTTCGATCCATCCATTAGCTTCAAATTCCTTGATTCGTTGAAACGCGGTCGCCCGTTGTGCTGGCGAGTATCAATAAGGAACGCAGCTAATGGGGGGATGATCCCCCGTAAGGATGGCATGCTCGATCACATTAGACAGCCCAATATCGTTATCGCGCACACTCAATACCTCTACGTACCCATTCAAGACGTTAATTAGTGATTGTCGAAATTCCAGGGGGACATGATCGGGCAGAGTGACAGTTGGTCGATCGAGTATCTCAAGAGGCATATCGATCCACTCAGCAGGCCGATCTCGTCGGTCATGGACGCTAGAGAACATAGAGTTGCTAGTGCAGCCAGAAAATACAGTTGCGATCATCTGGGATTCAGCGGGACTAATCATCTCGGTTTTTTTAACTTCTGTGTCAGTTTCCGAATCAGCCGAGGTTCCTTCCACGGTCAGTCTTGTTAGATCCATCATTTCCTGCATCAGATCGGGCACATCGTCAACAGGAACTTTGGCTTCTTGTTTAATCAGCGTGATGGTCGCTCCTGTCATAAGCAGTGACCTTGGAGGGGAAACAAAAACATCCAGGTATTGATTCGCCCGTTGATAGCGTGCTCGAAGGGAAAGTGTTCCCTCGTACAAAGTGCGAGGGGGTTCCAAATCGTCTGCCATGTCAGATATCTGCAGAATAGGTTCTCCGAGAAAGGTCGAAGGACTGACCTGGGTTTCCATAGGCGCGAGCGCGCTGTCTTCCAGACTCAAGTGGAAGGTTCGGGCGGCTCTGGGAACCATCCGAAACTCCTCGGGGGTTTCGTGCTCGAAAAGTTCGACCAAGTGCTTCCATTCACTCTCGCTAGGCATCTCTTCTTCGCACTCCTGTTCTTCGAATCCGCTACGGTTATCCGGGGATGAAAAGTCATCGTGATCAGGACTTTGAATCATTCCTATCCGAGCAGGGTTAGGATTCCTTTTTATTGTTCGGGTCTGAGGCTTTCCTCCTGTTTGTATGAGCACCAACTGTTTGGAATCGAAATGCAAGCGGGCACCTACCGCCATTGCCCAAGGCAGTCCCAACAATACCGAATATGAGTGCACATCTATAACTAAAGCGTTAACGAGGACGTGTACTCGTCAAACTTTCACGGCCACATTCTCGATGACTCCTACAATATTCATTGCTTCCTCGTCGGCAGAGATGTAATGGTCTTTGCTAGATTGAGGGAGAATCGAGTTGAGTCGTCCCGTTCTTTTTACCGTGTCTAATGATATAGCGACCGCAGAGGATCCGGTATCGATGAGAGCGTTAAAAGGTTTACCCCATACCTCGCAATCACATTCAGCACTTTTTCATAATACTGGTCAAACTCGCACGAAATGATCTTTCTCAGCTAGAGAAATTGCAGCTACTCGCGCTGCTTCGGGTTCACCAACTTCGGGTTCAGGCGATGCAACATCCTTTGCTCCTTCTTCCTTCTTCTTTTTCAGCATTCGTTGTATGCGCTGGTACGTAAAGCGCTTCTGATTCTTCTGACATTGTTGCATCAGTTTGTCATTCGCTGCTTCGGATATGGTGAGCAAATGCCCCACTGGGACCAGAGCGCGAATGTCCAGCTGCTTAAGCGTTCGTAATACATCGATCTCTCCCGTCTGAAACTGTGATCCGGGGTTAGATTCACGCTCGACCCATTCAAGATCGTCCTGAGCTGGTCGAACTGCTCCGATCATTCCGGCGAGATGAAGGTATTTGAGCGGATCGACCACGTCAGCAGCGTCGGAAGAAGAGATTCTCGAGGTTGATGCAACTGCCATTGAGGGGGAAGGGAGCTCAGGGGCGTACGCAACGATCTCCTCGCTTCGGGCCGTATCCATTAGTGCGGCCACTCGTCCTTGATTCAGAGCTACGGGGGCTGCAGCAGGTGGGGGTTGATTTCGTTTCGGTTGCAGACAGTCCCGAGCAAAATGCCCAGGCTGTTTGCAATTGTAACACTCGATTTTCCCTGCCAGGTTGGCTGTGTGAGGGAACGGCTGTGCGTGCCCAGGTGCAGGCGGAGCAGGCAAGAGTGGGAACGGTGCAGGTCGAGCGGGAGTCGGGTTGGGCTTAATTAGCCTGCTCATTATTTGTTCCAATCGATCCGCCTGCATTTGGACTAGGTTGCTCATCCATTCTGATTGTTTGGTGGTAGTCGTATGGATCATTTGTGCCAAGTGCATGTTTGTTATGGCCATAGGGGAGGTATCTTGGGAGCTTCTGGGTTTGATCGTTGCTACCTGTTGATTCATTGAGAGAGTCGGAGGAGGAGAAGGAACTGATGGAATATCAGAGGCAGCACCTTCGGGAAGGTCATGATCAGGCCGAAGGTAGAAACATTCCACCGCTCGCAACCACGATCATCGTTTTGCCGCTACATCCTGAATCGTGTCCGTAATATCTTCGTCTCCCTGACTGATATATTTCTTGGCATCCGTCAGGTCTAACTCAAGTGCTTTAGCGATGATAGCGGATAGCTGGTGCCTTTTAGGAGGGACCTTTTTCTGCAACTTACCTTTTAACGTCGGACTTCGTAGATGATCGATGAACAAATATCGGGCGGACTTTTCATCTCGCCCTGATTTGTCTAACGTAGTTTGGAATCGATCCACGAGGTCAGGCAGCGATTCCCCTGGTCCTTGCGGTCGAGTCTTGAGCACATACCAGGCGGCATCTTCGCTGACCGCATCAAACTGGGCCAGGAAGGCTTGCTTAAAGGTGTTCCAATCTACCCACGTGTGCTTCCTAAATCAGTCATGCGCTGTGTTGCAAAGCAGCAAGGTGAGGACGAGGGGGAGATCTCCCGCGCCATACCCTTGAGCTTCGACGGCCTCCAACCAAGCTTCGGGGTGGGTGTGATTAGGAAAGAAAGGAAAAGGGGCAGGAATACTAACAATTACCTTGGGAGGAGCTACGTTACCGTCACCCATTGGCATAGCCTGTCTAGCCGCACCAGATCTAGATCTGGTCACCGGGCGATCTCGACGAGCAGGTTGAGGACTCATTCTACCTCTCGCCAGCTCGACTTAATATCATCAAAACCGACACGTGTCGGCTCCGATACCAACCTCACGCCCTGTGCTGTCTTTCGTTCGGAGTGCTAAAGGTGCAGAATGAAGGCCCAGAAAAACAGCAAGATGGGGTGTGTCAAGGATTTTTGAGTGTGGGGACACAGACAGAACTGAAATCCCCCGTGTTGGCCCGATGAAGTAAGTCGGTTGCTTTTGCGCGTCGCGGAATGCACGCGCGAGCACGACGCGAAAAGAGAAAAATCCAAATTCAATCCAAAAAGTATTGTCGATCTTCCCACCGCGCTACGGATCTTCGTTTAGAGCGGAAGGGCTTTGGTATACTCAGCGTATCTCGTTTCCGTATCAAGTCCCGACGTCGCTCGTTGGTCAGTTCCGAGTCTGATGTGGATGGTCTCAGTCGCGTGGCTCTTTCCTTGTGCTCGTCTTCACTCCGTATCCGGTAGTGGAAGCGCTTTGATTCGTAGCGATCGAAGCGCTGACACTCAGTGCACAGGGTTCGAGGCCAATGGGGCGCCACTGCCGTCCACGGAATGACGATCAGCTCGT